AGTAGTTAATTTATTTCTAATCTTGCAGTGTTGATTTTACATTTTCTTAACACGTATAAATAATAATAATAATAATAAAAAAAAAAATAATAATCATAATAATAATAATAATAATAATAATAATAATAATAATAATAATAATAATAATAATAATAATAATAATAATAATAATAATAATAATAATAATAATAATATACACTGCAGCATTTGACCTATTCTCCTACTGTATAATCAATTTAACAAAAGGTTTTCTCTAACACCTGTGGATTTTTCGCCCTGTCTACTTCATCTTCATGAGTCTAGGGCAGCAAAACTCAGTGGATACATACACAGAAAACGGGATCCCGCCAAGAGCACGGTGATGTGAGTTAAGTCTTGGTTCTAGCAGGTAAATATCGGTGGCACGAGACCCACCAATCCTGGTCTGAATTGAGGCATGCCATTGGGTTAACTAAGGAATCCCTAGTTAGCTGACGTCATTTTGGCGTAATGGCCGGTGTTGGAACAACAGAGTCATCTGGTCCCTGGCGCTTCGATTATACAAAAATCCTCACCATGGATATACCAAAGACACTCTACTACGACTACTAAAGATGCTGTGGAGACAAACACGGAGACATGGGGTACTAAACATGCCTCATAGGATCACAGGGAATACAACTGTCTCAATTGCGATAAGCGCGCCAACTACCACAAGTCTGGCAGTGATGCTCATACAGACACCAACAAGCAAAAATTATTTAAAACAAATATAATTCATCAATTGAAAAACCGAGGAGAAAAATTACGTCCAAGTCCCTGCCTAGTGGAACAACAACAAGCAGTGGGGTGAATAGTGAAACTCCTGAAGATTGGCCTACTCTGGGTCCGCCACTTATATTGTCAAGTCCACCCAGCGGATCAAATGTAACAACAGCCACGTGACAAATATGTCAAGCTTGTTTATCCACATAACCAAGCTTACTGAAATCCGTTGCACCAACATGTTGGACCCGACACTGGACGAAGTCAGCAGTCAAAACCTCATAACCACAGTCCCAGGCTGTCCTTATAGTTAGAAACCAGAAAGATATCATCGACGCAATCGTCGCCGGCGAATACTTGACCATCCAAATGAAAGTGGATGACCAGCCCCTCCGCAGCCGAGAGCTACCTGAATACCTGGTGACTCGCTTTCCTGCGGATATGACCACAAGTTAGCACATCAACTCTCGGGAGTGTTTCGAACCCAACGCTTCATGAAAAATGGCCAGCCGCTCAACAGAATTGTTATCCTTTGGGAAGGAACTGAACCTTTCCCGTCCTTATATAAATTTGATTGTGTCCACTGTCTCTCACCATACCAACTCACCCTAATGGACTCCAGGCCTGTCTCCTGCTTCAAAAACTGAGAGACTGGACATAAATCAACTCACTGCTGGAGACAATAGCTATGTCTCAGACCTCCACCACCAGCCTCACTCACCACTAACAAAATCCATATACAACTTCTTAAGGACGAAATCACCTCACTAAACACCCAGCTGACGGACCTTGGGAAGGCAATGTAGAAACACTTGGAAACACAAGAGGAAAGAGACTTAAAACAACAAGTAGAAAATGACAAACTCCAGCAACTTCTTGAATCCACCATTGAACAGATAGAGAAGGCAGAGGAGCAGCTCAAGAAGGACAGACATGACCGAGAACGGCTGTTCAAGATGGAGAAATGGAAACAAACACAATTCCCACGAGGATGAGCTGAGGAAATAAGTTATGACTATAGTGAATTGAAATTTAAGCGATGAAAGCCAAAACATCTGCTCGAAAAATTATATAAAATGATCACTCGCCAACATGAATTCCTTTACCATCACTTTGTCGACTACGCTACTGCTACTGACTCTCCCATCGGGAAGACCACCAAGATCCCAGCTCTTACAAATGGGCACCAATCCGGCACTCGAGAACAACCTCCACAAATAATTCACAACAGTGAATCGACAAAGCCCTCTCACTCATCATAATCTAGAGCAGCTCATGTTTCTCTCCTGGAACATACGTACTGTACATGGCTTCACCACCCTCTACTGTCACGTCCACACTCATAACACGGACATTGTTCTTCTACAAGAAGTGTTTGTGAGACGCGCCCAGTTTCACACCCCTAAGCTTCTTCCTGGATATGCAATGTACTTCTCACCAATTCTAAACGGCCTCATAATTTACATCAAACAGTCCCTACAGCACAAACAGGTCAAAACAAGCCGCGACGAGGTCACCCAAGATCAACTCCTACAACTCAACGTGGCAGACAGTCACATTCATCTCTGCAACATCTATGGTCACAAACAGACCATGAAACGTGAACATCTCCCAAACCCAGCTGATAAGTCAATACTACACATGGGCAATATCAACTAACTTTATCCTGATATCCACGACCCCTTGGCAGAACCAACCTTAATGGGACACGTTTAGTACACGTCGTCGATACCTACAGCATTATTAACCACACTCCACAAGGTCCAACACATACTATGGGTGGGACGCCTGACCACGTACTAAGTGCTGGTCTTATTAGTGACAGAATAGAGGCAAACCTTGTCCGTCATCTCATCTTAGACCACATCGCCATCGCCGTTTCATACTGGGTCCCCAAAGAGGCCACACTCCCCATACGTCGGCTACACTATCTTCTACCTGATCATAATGTAGAAACGCTCGTCAGATATATGGCAGCATGGTATACTTCAAACGAGCCACAGTCTGTCACACAGGTCAATGATGACTTGACTGTCACCATCAAACAATTCTACTCCCGATTTGAATCCCAAGACCACCTCAAACAAAAAGCTCGACCGAGAACCCAACCCCCTGGGTCCTGGACACCCGTATACTTGAAGCTAGAGTCTTGGCACACTTTACGAGGAACGAGTTCCTCTGTCTCATTCCTTACACCCACTAGCAGTCAACGGTGACTAAAACTTGGGGTGCAGCTGCACTACGAGGCGAGAGTCTTTGTGTATATGAGACTGCCGTCCCTAAAACTGTTATACATAGCTTTTCGATGTTGATGTTATAATGCATTACTGCACATTAACAACTCAGGTCTCTAAGCGCGTATTCTAGGTTAGTAAATACACTGGTCAAGTAGACATAAACGATTAAAAACTTATAGAGATACAGCTTTCTAAGTCACTGAAGGCTCGGTGGTGGTGGACATGGTGGCGTCAGCCCGGTGGGTGAAGAGAGGGGTGAAGTGCCGTGTGGGTTGTGTAGGTAGATGGAAGATTATTTTATAGCTTGTTAACTGTTTGGTTTTTAATTATTGAAGAAGAACTTGGCTTATTTTATGAGTGTTATCTATTTCAAGTTTGGATAAAACAGTTGGGCCTGTGTAGTGTACATCTTCCTCCACTCTCGAGGTCAAATTCGACACTAGATCGGGCGGTTTAGTGGAGTTACTATATAATAAACAAAGATTTTACATTTTTACCCGACATCCTGATATGATCCAGCATTTGTCTTGTCGTCTCTCGAAGGTCAGAGTGTTTGGAGAAGTGACTACCAGCTCTGGTTAGCTTCTTCATGCGCCCACAATACGCAGTAACAAGTTGTTACGCTTCAACTTAGTCTGAGTGAGTTCTTGTCTCGTGTGCTGAATGTGGTGGCCAGCTTTTTGCATCACCATAAACGTCTCCACCACATTCTAACATATTGGGTGACACACTGTTGCTGTGATGTTTACCTAACTCCAGTGGTCATCATAACCTAAGATCCTCATCACAGGTAAACAGTCTTGTCTCTGAAAGCTTACGTGTATGTGTAAACAGGGAACCAGATATCAGATGAACAACGTTGTTATAGGGAAATCCGACTGTGTGAACGATTTAGGAGTAATGATAAGTAGGAATCTTAAACCAAGTCAACAATGTGTATTTGCTCGAAACAATGCTAACAAATTACTTGGGTACATACAAAGGAGTGTTAGTTACAAGACTAGCGAGGTTATCCTAAAACTATATCTTGCGCTTGTGAGACCTCACTTCGATTACGCAGTTCAGTTCTGGTCACCGTACTACAGAATGTATATAGAATCCCTAAAAAGAATTCAGAGGAGAATGACAAGACTAACCTGGGCATTAGGAACCTTGAATACAGAGACAGGTTAAAGCATCTTAATTTGTACTCCCTCGAGAGACGTAGAGTGAGGGGCGATATGATCGAGGTGTATAAATGGAAGTCAGGGTTAAACAAAGGTGATATAACAAAGGTACTCAAACTATCCAACCAGGAGCGAACTCGGACAATGGTTATAAATTACACAAATTTAGATTTAGGCGTGAGAGAGGTAAACATTGGTTTGGAAATAGAGTAGTGGATGAGTGGAACAAGTTACCAAACATCATCATTAACTCGAATGCTCTGGATAGCTTCAAACATAGGTTGGATGGATATATGAGCGATAAGGGTTGGGTGTAAACGGGACTGCCCAGTATGGGCCAATAGGCACGCTGCAGTTTCCTCCATTCTTATGTTCTTATGTTTTTGGTGAAACTGCCATGTGATTATGCTCAAAGAAGATCTACGAGTATATGTCTGAGTGAAGGGCTGGATTACGACCCATTTTCTTGTTTATGTTGGTGGGTTGATCTCTTTCTTTTTTTGATCTTCAGCCATATTGCTTTCCTCCCGTGTAGAGTGGTCAGTGTTATCTGTTGGTTGGAACTGGCACGATACTGTGTGTGTGTGTGTGTGTGTGTGTGTGTGTGTGTGTGTGTGTGTGTGTGTGTGTGTGTGTGTGTGTGTGTGTGTGTGTGTGTGTGTGTGTGTGTGTGTGTGTGTGTGTGTGTGTGTGTGTGTGTGTGTGTGTGATCATGAGAGTCAGCACCATGCATTTTAAACCCGTGAATTTAAACACATATTCAGGTGTGTTGTGAAGGTGTATATTTACAAACAGTAATTCTCTCCATCACACATTTAGCGTAAAGACAAAGAGGACTTAAAAACATACAGCATTCCTAAGGGTTTTCTTGTATTAACATGCCTACACATCATTATAACTAGAACTTTTTTATATACTGTAATCTATATTTATTTGCTATATTCAGGATTCCTTATATCTCGTGGGTGGCTGGTACGTAGACGTGGACTCTGCTGTTGGGTACTGAGCTACGCCTTCATATCCCACTTGGGCCACATAGCCAGAATCCCCGTTGACAGAATAGTCCACCGTCTGTAGGCGACCGTCGGGAAGCTGCACGTAGTAGGAGCCCTGGGTGTTGTAGCCGTCACGGGACTCATGGTGGCCGAAGTCACTGCTACTGTAGGTGTCCTTTATGGCGTAGCTGAAGTTATAGACAGCAGGAACCTGAGGAAGAACAGATATACACCTTCAGGACTTAGCGCTTGCTAACAGTGACGCTCGACTGACCTCAGACATGTCGCATCTCACCTCCCTCCCTCCATCCCTCCCTCTCTGCCTTCTTCAGTCACTTTCTCTTTTTTTATCTCTCTCCTTATCTCACTACCTTCTTTTCCCTCCACTCCCTCTTTTCCCTCGTTCCTCCATTTCTTCCTTTCATTCCTTCCTTAACTCTCTACTTTCCATCCTTCCTTCACTTCCTACTTTCCCATATTCTTTCACTCCCTTCCTTCCTTCCTTCCTTCCTTCCTTTGTCCTTCTCTCTCTCCCTCCTTTCTTCCCCCCTGTCGGCCGCCACTTCAGAATTACGACAAAGAGTGACCGAACGATCTAGGAGTAGGAACAAGTTATGCTCATCATAACATGCAAGTAGTCTGCCCCCCAGGTGCTGAAACAAGGCACTGAACCAGTCTCTGGTCGCCTCTGGCACCTGTAAAGAGTCACTTTCTCCACGGAAGTTTCAAGGTTTTTTATGAAATATGAAATTATATCTATTCTGAACCTTGCCTAGCGTTACCTAACCTTACCTAACGTTACTTAACCTGATAACTATTTTATATTGAGAATGTTATAAAGAATTGTTAGTGAGTAAAACCTGCGCTATATTACTGTATTTTCTTTAAGAGAGGAACATTAACCCTCTGTGGTGTAAATACTCGCTAAAGAGTCTGAAATATGGCCCAAGACAGTGTTCGTATTTATAAAGGAGGAGGAAAAGAGAAGATTAGGGAAGGGAAGACGATAAAGGAAAGAGTAGGTAAAAAAGGAAATTGGGAAGAAGGGAGGAGGGAGGAAGGGAAGGAAGGAGGAAAGAAGAGAGAGAGGGAGTAAGAGAAGGAAGAAGGAAAGAAAGAGAGAGGAAGTGAGAAAAATGAGGGGAATGGAAGGAGAAAGGAAGAGAAGAGGGCATAAGAGGAAAGAGGAAAACAGAGAGGAAGGGAAGAAGGAAGAGAGGGAAGCGGAATGAGAGAAAAAAAGGAAAATAGAAAGAGAAGAAGCAATATATAATAAGTGAGAGAGAGAGAGAGAGAGAGAGAGAGAGAGAGAGAGAGAGAGAGAGAGAGAGAGAGAGAGAGAGAGAGAGAGAGAGAGAGAGAGAGAGAGAGAATAAAAAAGTTACCAAGAGAGAAACAAAAAACCTCAGGCTGGTTTTTCTTTCCCTCAACAAAAAGAGGCTTTGCACCGTCATGGGTCATAAGGCGGTGGAGGGAAAGTTCAACAATACTCACCTTATGGTCGGGGTGCGGCCGGTTGTGGGCGTGGTCTGAGTGGACGAGGATTGGTTGGCTCCTGGCGGGATTTGTAAGGCCCTGGTGACCGCCGGAGGGGCTCAGGTGGCCGTCGGAGTGAGCTAAATGGCCGACGGAGGGATTCAGGTGGCCTTCGGAGGGGCTCAAGTAGCCGTCGGAGGGACCTAGGTGGCCGCCGGAGGAACTCAGGTGGCCGCCGGAGGAACTCAGGTGGCCGCCGGAGGACCCTAGGTGGCTGTCGGAGGGACCTAGGTGGCCGCCGGAGGGGCTCAGGTGGCCGCCGGAGGAACCGAAGTGGCTGTCGGAGGGACCTAGGTGGCCGCCGGAGGAGCTCAGGTGGCCGCCGGAGGGACCTAGGTGGCTGTCGGAGGGACCTAGGTGGCCGTCGGAGGGGCTCAGGTGGCCGCCGGAGGAACCGAAGTGGCTGTCGGAGGGACCTAGGTGGCTGCTGGAGGGACCTAAGTCGCCTCCGGGGGGGCCCAGGTGGTCGCCGGAGGGACCTAGGTGGCCGCCGGAGGGGCTCAGGTGGCCGTCGGAGTGAGCTAAATGGCCGACGGAGGGATTTAGGTGGCCTTCGGAGGGGCTCAAGTAGCCGTCGGAGGGACCTAGGTGGCCGCCGGAGGAGCTCAGGTGGCCGCCGGAGGACCCTAGGTGGCTGTCGGAGGGACCTAGGTGGCCGCCGGAGGGGCTCAGGTGGCCGCCGGAGGAACCGAAGTGGCTGTCGGAGGGACCTAGGTGGCCGAAGTGGCTGTCGGAGGGACCTAGGTGGCTGCTGGAGGGACCAGGTGTGGTCGCCGGAGGGACCTAGGTGGCCGCCGGAGGGGCTCAGGTGGTCGCCAGAGAGACCTAGGTGGCCGCCGGAGGGGCTCAGGTGGCCGTCGGAGTGAGCTAAATGGCCGACGGAGGGATCCAGGTGGCCTTCGGAGGGGCTCAAGTAGCCGTCGGAGGGACCTAGGTGGCCGCCGGAGGAACTCAGGTGGCCGCCGGAGGACCCTAGGTGGCTGTCGGAGAGACCTAGGTGGCCGCCGGAGGGGCTCAGGTGGCCGCCGGAGGAACCGAAGTGGCTGTCGGAGGGACCTAGGTGGCCGCCGGAGGAGCTCAGGTGGCCGCCGGAGGGACCTAGGTGGCCGCCGGAGGAACTCAGGTGGCCGCCGGAGGACCCTAGGTGGCTGTCGGAGGGACCTAGGTGGCCGCCGGAGGGGCTCAGGTGGCCGCCGGAGGAACCGAAGTGGCTGTCGGAGGGACCTAGGTGGCCGCCGGAGGAGCTCAGGTGGCCGCCGGAGGGACCTAGGTGGCTGTCGGAGGGACCTAGGTGGCCGTCGGAGGGGCTCAGGTGGTCGCCAGAGAGACCTAGGTGGCCGCCGGAGGGGCTCAGGTGGCCGCCGGAGGGACCTAAATGGCCGCCGGAAGACCCTAGGTGGCCGACAGCAAGAGCTAAGTGGCTGCCGGTGTTGGCTGGTTGACTGTATATCGCTCCAGGCTCAGGGGAGAGGATGAGACTGGGGTTTGGGGATGTATGATCACTATGGACGTGTCCCGGGGGAAGGGATAGCGATGGCACGGAGCGTGGTTGATTATCTGCCTGACCTACGGAGGAGTGAAAATTGGAAACATGGACTGGCTGAGAGGAGACTGTCGTGTGCTCTAAGTGACTGGAAACTGGAGCAACGGTAGAAAGGAAAGTTTCTCTGTCAGGTTCAGTGTAGCTACGGCCTGGGATAGAGACTACATTGGAGGAGGGACCTGTATGACTGGAGATTGAAACAGCTTCGGAATGGAAGTTTGTCTTTATATTTGACTGACTGGGTACTGGAGTAGAGAGAAATATCGAGTCATGGTCATGGGTTGGTTGACTGTATGCCTGGGTTACGGGAGACGGAGTAGTGGAGAAGTGAATTGGTTGAGTGGAGACTGCCTTAGACTCTGGATGACTGGAAACTGGAGCAACAGTTGAGAGGAAGATGGAATTTGGATCTGACTGGCTGGAGAATGAAACTGTATCAGAATGGAAGTTTGTCTTTATATTTGACTGACTGGGTACAGGAGTAGAGAGAAATATCGAGTCATGGTCATGGGTTGGTTGACTGTATGCCTGGGTTACGGGAGACGGAGTAGTGGAGAAGTGAATTGGTTGAGTGGAGACTGCCTTAGACTCTGGATGACTGGAAACTGGAGCAACAGTTGAGAGGAAGATGGAATTTGGATCTGACTGGCTGGAGAATGAAACTGTATCAGAATGGAAGTTTGTCTTTATATTTGACTGACTGGGTACAGGAGTAGAGAGAAATATCGAGTCATGGTCATGGGTTGGTTGACTGTATGCCTGGGTTACGGGAGACGGAGTAGTGGAGAAGTGAATTGGTTGAATGGAGACCGCCTCGGACTCTGGCCGACTGGAAATTGGAGCAATTGTAGTGAGGAAGATGGAACTTGGATCTGGTTGGTCGTACACGCGGCCTGGGGGAGTGATTAGAACTGGCTCGGAACCTTTCTGATTGGAGACTACAATTTTGTCAGAATGAAAGACTTTCCTGTGGTCGGAAAGACTGGAAGCTGGAGCAACAGTAGAGAAGGAAAGTGAGTCTAGGCCAGGTTGACTGTAAGACTGGCCTGGAGAAGATGATAGACTGGAAGCGTGGCCTAGCTGACTGGAAACTGAGGCTACATCAGAATGAAAGACTGGTTCGTGATGAAATTGACTGGAAACTGGAGCAACAGTAGAGAAAGAAACTGAATCTAGGCCAGGTTGACTGTAAGACTGGCCTGGAGAAGATGATAGACTGGAAGCGTGGCCTAGCTGACTGGAAACTGAGGCTACATCAGAATGAAAGACTGGTTCGTGATGAAATTGACTGGAAACTGGAGCAACAGTAGAGAAAGAAACTGAATCTAGGCCAGGTTGACTGTAAGACTGGCCTGGAGAAGATGATAGACTGGAAGCGTGGCCAATCTGACTGGAAACTGAGGCTACATCAGAATGAAAGACTGGTTCGTGATGAAAGTGACTGGAAACTGGAGCAACAGTAGAGAAAGAAACTGAATCTAGGCCAGGTTGACTGTGAGACTGGCCTGGAGAAGATGATAGACTGGAAGCGTGGCCAATCTGACTGGAAACTGAGGCTACATCAGAATGAAAGACTGGTTCGTGATGAAAGTGACTGGAAACTGGAGCAACAGTAGAGAAAGAAACTGAATCTAGGCCAGGTTGACTGTAAGACTGGCCTGGAGAAGATGATAGACTGGAAGCGTGGCCTAGCTGACTGGAAACTGAGGCTACATCAGAATGAAAGACTGGTTCGTTGTGAAATTGACTGGAAACTGGAGCAACAGTAGAGAAAGAAACTGAATCAAGGCCAGGTTGACTGTAAGACTGGCCTGGAGAAGATGATAGACTGGAAGCGTGGCCTAGCTGACTGGAAATTGAGGCTACATCTGAATGAGAGACTGGTTCGTGATGAAATTGACTGGAAGCTAGAGCATCTTTTGATAGGAAGAGTGAAAGGTCCTGATGACTGTAGGCCTGAGAAACAGGGGGTGACACAGTGGAAATACGAACTGGCCGAATGGTGATTATCTCGGGGTCTGGGTGACTAGAATCTATACCTTTATCAGATAGAAAGATCGAATTTGGATCTGACTGACGGAAGGTGGTACTTCCTTCAACACGGAAATTTGTCTTCCTTTTCGGCTGGCTGGAAACTGGAACAGAGAGGAAAATTGAATCGTGATTTGGGTGCCTGAAGACTTGTCCGGGGATGAGAGACAGGGATGGATTACGAGAGGATTGGCTGGAGGCTGAGGCTGCTTCGGGGAGGAAGACTGCCCTGATGGTTGGTTGACCGGAAACTGGACTTTTAACTGGTAGGAAGATCGAGTTTCGGTTTGGAAGGTTGTAGACCGAGGCTTGTCCAAGCCCGTTTGGGTGACTCGAGATCCAACCAGGGGCCGAGGATACAGTTGGGAATGTCTTTGGAGGTCCATATGCTTGAGTGATGTATGGCGGTAGAGCGAAGACGGGACGTACGGACTGAGGCAAGGCTAGGGCAGGGTCTGTCTCTAGGGTATGAGAAGGAGAAGGTGAGATGAGGTTTGATACAGAGGGGAGTGTTGGGACTGAGTCTGATTCAGGAGGGAGGTGTACTGTGGGATCTGAGCCAAGGTGAACCACTTTAGGTGGAGGCGTGGTGATCCTGTACGATGGGAGGTAGATGGGGACAGCGAGAGAAACAGTCAGCCATGTCACCAGGACCTCCACAAACAGTACCTAAGGGAGACACCAGAAGTGAGATACACTAACACACACACACACACACATAAAAATTTACAAGGAGTTTGCAGTCAAATTTGCCACCCCCCTCTGTTCCATTATTAATGCATCCCTCAAACAAAGCAAATGCCCTAATGAATGGAAAACCGCATTTGTCACCCCTATCCCCAAGGTCCCCACACCACAGTCTCCTAGTGACCTCAGGCCAGTTGCCATTACCCCCATACCCAGTCTACTCTGTGAAGACTTTGTTTTTGAATGGGCATTTGCTAGTATTTATCAGCCAGTTAATCCACAGCAATTTGGCAATATGAGTACCTCCTCAACATCACACTGCTTAGTTAGTTTCCTGGATTTTCTGCACCAAAACTTGGAGAAACGTAAGACATCACTGGCCGTTGCCCTTGTTGACTTCAGGAAGGCTTTTGACTTTGTTGATCACTGCACTGTTATCAACAAGGCCATTGCACTAGGGCCGCCCACCAACCTGGGCTCATGGCTCACTGATTTCCTGAGTGAGCGTCGTCAGGTAGTGAGGTACCAGGGTTCTGTATCCACATTCCAACACCTCACCTGTGGTGTTCCACAAGGGATCAAAATGGGACCACTGTGCTTCCTAATCCTGATCAACGACGCTCTATCGGACACTCCTCACAAGTGAAAGTACGTGGATGACTGCACTGTGGGGGTTACAGTGGACAACACCTCACCAAACTACTAATCGCTACAAGGCACCCTGGACAGGTTACAGGCATGGACTACGGAGAACAAGGTCACCATCGATCACACCAAAACTGTAGTCATGCACATCAATACCGCCACCACTCCAGTGCAAGCTCCAGCAGTTACAGTAGGTGCCCATCCTCTCCAGTTAGTGCAGTCTGCCAAACTCCTGGGTGTAACTATAGACCACAAACTGGACTGGAAGGCCCATGTAAACAACACAATCAAGGCAGTCTCGTACCGACTCTAAATGCTACGACGACTCAGGTCACTTGGGGTACCCACGCCAGAGCTGAGGACTATCTACAACGCCTTTATTCTCCCAAAATTAACGTATGCGTCACCAGCCTGGTCGTCTTCTCTCAACTCTATCCAACAACGTCAGCTAGAGAAGGTACAGAAGAGGGTCTGCAGAATCATGCTCTGCGCAGACTACTCCGGCTACAACAACGCTCTCTCCACCCTGGAAATGCCATCCCTCAGTGTCTTCCACCACCATGCACTAGCAGGGCTTGGCAGTGGACAACTGCACCATCCTCGTCATCGCCACCTACTGCCACCTGCAGTCCCCCGCCCACCTCGTGCAGTTCGCCACTACAACAAAATTCATCCCATAAGAGCCCGCACTGATAGATATAAGAATAGCATCATCCCATCTATTGTGAAAATAATAAACAGCTCCTGATTTATGTACTGTACAGCCCTGTAAATGAACGTATTGAATGTATATTATTATGTCTAAATCACATGTAAGTTTGTATATTTTCAGCCACCGGAAGCAACTCTATTAATATACAGTTTATTATTATTATTATTAATATTATTATTATTATTATTAATATTATTATTATTACTATATCCTTGACCACGGGAAGGTCAAGACCTATTCGGCGCCTGCTCCTGCAGCGGTAACTGCCCTGGCAAATGTTGGCCCACTCCCTCAACCCCCTCCCCTCATCCCCTCCTCCCCACCGGGACGTCGACAAAATCTCAGCCCAAAGTGACAATTTCGCTTCACAAAGGAGTGGGATCAATGTTGAACAATGATGAACAGTTTTTAACTCAGTGAATTCAGCATGAGACAGTACCAGTGAGAGTCCGTGACAAACCAGTGTGGTCCGCACCCAGAGATAAACACCCCTAGGAAACGATGACCATCTTCTGACCAGGTGGTAAAGTGTTAATCAGTTCACTCTGGGAACAACCGTGGGTCGGCTCTACACCTAACTAAGAGATAACACAACTCCATTTAGCAGAGAGTGAGGTACTATGACACTACACTAAACAACACCACACCACACCACCCGGTGTCTCGTACTGTAACATAAGAACATAACAACATAAGAATGAGGAAACTGCAGCGTGCCTATTGGCCCATACTGGGCAGTCCCGTTTACACCCAACCCCCATCGCTCATGTATCCACCCAACCTACGTTTGAAGCTATCCAGCGTATTCAAGTTAATGGTGACATTTAGTAACTTGTTCCACTCACCCACAACTCTATTTCGAAACCAATGTTTACCTACCTCGCGCCTAATTCTAAATATGCCTAGTTTAAAACAAAGATACGAGTTAGCTCCTGGCTGGATAATTTCAGTACCTTTGTTTAGCCCTGACTTCCATTTATACACCTCGATCATATCGCCCCTCACTCTACGTCTCTCGAGGGACGGCAAATTGAGATGCTTTAACCTGTCTCTGTACTCAAGGTTCCTAATGCCCCGTATTAGTCTTGTCATTCTCCTCTGAATTCTTTCTAGGGATTCTATATCTATTCTGTAGTACGGTGACCAGAACTGAACTGCATAATTTAAAGTGAAGTCTCGCTAGTCTTGTAACTAACACTCCTTTGTATGAACCCAAGTACTTCGTTAGCCTTGCTTCGAGCAAATACACATTGTTGACTTGGTTTAAGATTCCCACTTTTGATTACTCCTAAATCTTTCTCACAGTCGGATTTCTCTATAACAGCATTGTTCATCTGATATCTGGTTTCTCTGTTTACATCTCCTAGACTAAGTATTTTTCATTTGTCCACATTAAATTTCATCTGCCATTTTTCAGACCATGCGAAAAATTTGCTTAGATCATCCTGTAGTTTTGCAGGGTCCTCGACATATTTAATTACACGCCCTATTCTTGTGTAATCAGCAAATATAATTTTGTTGCTGTCTACGCCTATATCTATGTCGTTTATGTACAAAATAAATTGTAATGGTCCAGGTACTGAGCCTTGGGGTACTCCGCTAGTGATGGTACAATAGTCGGATTTAGTGTGGTTAATGCTTACTCGCTGTTTCCTGTCCTGTAACCACGCCCTAATCCATTTTAGAATATCTCCTCCAATTCCAAGAGCCTCCACTTTTCGTCTTAGTCTTTCGTGGGGGACTCTGTCGAAGCCTTTGCTAAAGTTGAGGTATACCACATCATAATCGTGCCCGTCATCTAATGATTCGAAAACAGTTGAAAATAATGTTAATAGATTAGTCAGACATGAACACCCACTTGTGAAGCCATGTTGGGAATCCTTGATCAACTTGTGCTTCTCCAGGAGATTTCGAATAGAGGTTGAGATGATTGCTTCCAGCAATTTGCCTGCAATTGATGTTGAACTTATTGGACGGTAGTGATCTATCTCCCTTCTTGAAAATCGGTTGTTTCATTGTCTGTCCTCGTGAGCCGAGATTAACATTGACATTATTCTGGTGGGTGTGTCTTATAAGTAAGAAAAATACTATAACTGTAGGTAAACTCAACGTATTCACAGACTGCTTCACTCATCTTCTGTTAAATGCCAAGAAACATAAACATTTTACTTAAAAAATTATTATGGTGGATTTGTTTTATAGATTGGGGGAAAAAGACTGTGATCGTAAACTAAAAATATCGTAAGGAGGACGTGACGATAAACTGCTTCATTGTCCGTGCTAACACAATATTAACATTAATTTTGGGTTAGGTAGGATACAAATTTTGGTGGGTTGGCCCTCAGAAAAATACCTAAATCGAAATGCGGCCCATGCCTGCTCTACGACACCACCGGGGAGGGAAGTACTACAATCACCTGATATCCTCCACAACACCACCGGGGAGGGGATTCCTACAGACGTATGACATTCTCTACAATATTTAATTGTCAGTGACTCATAGATGAATAATTGTATTTTCACTCCTTGCCTATTGAAAGCTTTTATTAAACAATTCACTCCCCATGTCCCCAAACCTAATACTGTATTGTAATTTTTGGTCCATTGTATATTTTGAACTTCTGGCCGCTTGATTTGTTTTCAGTAAACCGTTATTTATTATTATTATTATTGTTAAAAGTATATAATAATAAATAATATTGGTTGTCCCTCGTGTTCGAGGATGGCCGGCTTTAGGGCCACCTAGGCGTGAATTTGTTTAAGGTGTAGAAGCTATCACATCAATACAACAACCACACCCTAAGTTAACGAGTTGCATGACCCAGTGTCACGGAATAATCCGAGAAGACCGGACAACTCGCCAACTGCAATGGCTAACCATTACCCCAGAACAAGATCCGAAATATCTATTAATATCAAGGTCCCCAATTACTGCTGAGTACACAGAGGCAAATGGCGTAAAGAAATTTGCCCATAGTTTCACCCTGCCCAGGAATTGAACAATTACACCACAGGTCGCCATTATAACACACACACACACACACACACACAAAAAACTAGACAAACTGTCGGGTAAACTCGGTAATCCAGAATGATTCACCCTGACGTTTCGTGAACCATATTTCATACATACTCAACTGGGCACATGTAACAATGCTTTGATAATATGCAAATCCCCACAAACAATATACAGGTTGTAGCTTCCATGAGTATCGAGGAGAAGAATGTGTTCCTCCAGTGCTATGGTCAGGGAGGCTCATATTCTCCCTCACCTCTTGATGATAAATGTACTGTTAGCAGAGGTGAGTTATGAATAATAACGTCAATAATTACAATAAAATCACTCGTTAAAATGATAACATGGATATTTCCAATGATAACATGGATATTTCCAATGATAACATGGGTAATTTCAATAATACCATTAGTATTACAATAATAAAAAGCAAAATAATAATAATAGCATAAATAATCAAAATGATAGCATGGATATTAACAATGATAGCATGAATAATTGCAACGATAGCACGAATAATTACAATGATAGCATGAATAATTACAATGATAGCATGAATAATTACAACGATTACACTTATAACGATAACTTCAATATATACTAAAATAACACAAATACTTGGAATAACAATATCAAAGGAAGTAGAGGAGAAGGAGGAAGAATAAAAGAAGAATAGGAAGAAGGTAATAGGAACAAAAGAAAAAGGAGGAGGGGAAGGAAGAGGATGACGAAGAGGAGAGGATGAAGAAAGAAGAGGAGGAGGAAGAGGCTTTGGAAATGTCAGTGATATTGTTGTTATTGTTATTATTATAGTATCGTTGTTATTATTATTATGGTATTGTTATTGTTGTTATTGTTATTGTTGTTTCTGTTATTATCGTTGTTATTATTATTATTATGGTATTGTTGTTATTATTATTATTATGGTATTGTTATTGTTGTTATTGTTATTGTTGTTACTGTTATTATTGTTGTTATTGTTATTATTATGGTATTGTTATTGTTGTTACTGTTATTATTGTTGTTATTGTTATTATTATGGTATTGTTATTGTTGTTACTGTTATTATTGTTGTTATTGTTATTGTTGTTAGTATTGTTGTCATTGTTGTTGTTGTTGTTATTTTGGTTATTATTGTTGCTGTTGTAATTATTATTGTTGTTGTCGTACTTATTATTTTTGTAGTCGTTGTTGTTGTTGTTGTTGTTGTTTCTGTGGTTATTATTATTCTTGCTGTGTTTGTTGTTATTGTTGTTGTAGCTGTAGTTATCGTTGTTGTTCTTGATGTGATTTACGTTGTAGAAATTCCTCTCGTTATTATTGCTGTCTGCGATGTGACTTGTTGTTGTTGTTTTTTTGTTGTTTTTATAAGCGGATAAACACATCCCAGTCACGACTCAAAAACAAAAAAACAACTGAAGCACCACACAATGTAAACATTACCTTCCTAAACATGTCCTCACGTGTTCCACCAGTTGATACCAACGACTGACTGACGTACCCGTTACCCTCACCTTTCTCTCTTATATGACCCCTACCCACAAGCTCCTCCCACAGCCGATGACGTCACCCTAAAACAAAAACAACGCGACAAAAAGATATAGAGAGGGAGAGGGAAAAGCGAAATCATATGAGAAGAGAAGACATGCAAAAAATAGGGAAAGGTGAGGTGAGTCTCTGTTTTACGACGGCTGAGACTTGACCAGCAGGACGCCCAAAGCCGCTCTGTTAGTTGTAACATAAGAAGTGGTTAAGCAAGTGAGACTGTTGTTAACGGGAGTAGGGTGGGGGTGAAGATGATGAGAATAGTGTTGGTAATGGTGATGGTGGTAGTTGTGGTGGTGGTAAAAGTGGTGGTGGTGGTGATGGTGATGGTAGTGGTGGTGTAGTAATGGTGGTAACAATAGTGGTGGTAATTGTATTAGTAATGGTGGTGGTAAGAATGGAAATGGTGGTGGTAATGATAATGATGGTGATGGTAATAGTGGTTGATCGAAAAAATGGTGATGATGAGAATAGTTATGGTAGTGGTGGTTGATCGTAGAATGAGAATGGTGATGTTGCTAGGCGGTGATGATACAATGTCTGTTTGAAAGTACATAATAAAAAAATAATTAATATGTCACTCTTTTGGCTTTCATCCGTGCCATAAAAGTTATAAAAGGAAACAAAGACCAAATAAATTTATAAACCTCATTGTACTGTTTTCAAATAGGAGAAAACAGGATGTAAATGACTTTAGTTTGTTTCTTTCATTCAACATGTGAAAGAACAGAGGGTATGACCTTCGCTGGATACTGTATAAAATGCCACGATGAATAATATATACAGCATATACAGTTTTAATACTTTCTGTATCTCATTCAAATACAAGTGTAAATAAATTGAGTTCAGTCATAATTCCGCTTAAGAAATAAATACAGTAAGATACACGTATATAATACTTTCTACATCTTATTCAAATACAGTCGTGAACAAACAACATTACATAACTACATCAACTTTACTGTATCTTATTTAAATACGGCAGAGATCGACGAGTAAATTCTTTCTCCGTGATCTAAAATTGTCGATGAAAAAATACCAGAGAACATTTTGCTGGACGAAAAATGCGGACGATGCGGTTATCTGGGTCATAATGCAAGTGATTTTCTGGGAAATATTTTCGACACATTACCAGGAAGATTGACCACTTTATGTTTGCTGGGAGTGGGTTGTGTCTACTGGGCGGTGGTTAGTTTATATCTGCTGGAAGGTGGAGGCAGGTGGGGGGGGCAGGTTGTGTCTGCTGGAGGGGTAGTTTAAGTCTGCTGGGGGTTAGTTTATATCTGCTGGGAGGGGGGGGCTGGGTTTGTGTCTGCTGGGGGCTAGTCTACTGGGGGTTTAGTTTATGTCTACTGGGAGGGGGATTGTGTCTGCTGGGGTGGTTTGTTTCTGCTGGGGGTAGTTTATGTCTACTGGGGTTTAGTTTATGTCTACTGAGGGGGGTAGATTGTGTCTGCTGGGGGTGGTTTGTTTCTGCTGGGGGGTAGTTTATGTCTACTGGGGGTTTAGTTTATGTCTACTGGGAGGGGGGTAGATTGTGTCTGCTGGGGGTGGTTTGTTTCTGCTGGGGGGTAGTTTATGTCTGCTGGGGGGTAGTTTATGTCTGCTGGGAGGGGGGGTAGACTGTGTCTGGTGAGGGTAGTTTGTGTCAGCTGGAGGGTAGTTTATGTCTGCTAGGGTAGTTTGTGTCTGCTAGGGTAGTTTGTGTCTGCTAGGGAGTACAGGACACAGCTACTATGTGTGATATATATCTCAAGTCTGATCTCAAATATTAAAATGTTAATTTATTTTATTTTAATTATTTTTTCTTTCAATTACATCTTAAAATGAAATTAAAAGACTAAATTGGACCAGTCTAGTGAATGGATAATTTAAGACGATTAGTTCCCTTTTTGTGTAGGAATATTCTAAGTTGCAGTTGTTAGTTCGAATTAATCCTTTTCAGACTGACTGACAGACTGAATGAGTGACTGACCGAATGACTGACGGACTGACTGACCTTCTGAGAAAACTTTCCTCCTGAATACATGTCGAGTCAATTATGTTTTATACCCATCATAACTCCTGTATAACACCAAAGAAAAACTCACTGTCAATTAATATTAAACACAAGTGAAAAATATGAACTTGTGAAAACTTGCGAAAACGGAATTATGAGTTTATGACTCAAAGTCACACTGGAAATTAAAACAGTAAAAGTCAACACTACCAGTTTAATTCACACTGGTTGGCCGCCTATATATTCACAAGGGGATACAGGTCATCATCTTCCTCCACCCACACTTCCTCTACCACTTTGCTAAACAATGTACTGTACAAGTTATACGCTGTAACATTCCACGACTAAGGTCTGATAAAAGTCCTTTGTCATCTCTACTTTGTAATTCCTTTTTGCGCTACAGCTCACATGATGAGTATATGATGCACAATACACTAGCTGCTGTACGCGTCAAATAAGAAATAATGACGTGGGATGGCGGCGGAACTGTCTGTCCTAGAAAACACATTTCATTTCATCTTCATCTGATAGTGATTTCAGGTACTGGAAACACCTGCTAAACACAGTCAGGTAACGGTGTTTACATGAAAAACTTTCGGTATTACTTGTGAACTTATTGATGATAATAACTGCAACAACAATAATAATAATAATAATAATAATAATAATAATAATAATAATAATAATAATAATAATAATAATAATAATAATATAAACAATGCACAACGTCACAACTCAGGGAAATGGTCATCAAATGCCCTGATAAGGCTCCCATGGGGGTGTGAATCAACGGGTGACCACAAGTACATATTATAACTCTGAGATCATCACCCAGTGAAAGGTGCCCGAACCAGGAAAATATTGACTTTTCCTTAATTAAATATATTTAAACTACTGAGAAGACTGAACAGATAAATTAATAGAGCTGCCATTTAAGCACCAAGTGATGTGAGTATTAACATCAGTATTATTATCTACTGTATGTTAATCAGCTCCGTAAATAAAGATCAAACTATGTATTGTGGAATGAGAAGTTAAGGCAGCTGTAAGCAGAATTTATATAAAAAATGGGCACGAATAGGATCCAATGTTTGACTAAAATATGTAATTATACTTCATAGGAAACTTCCCAGTAATTAAAAAGAATCTATATTTCTCTATTTGGTCTGAGAATTTTGAGTGAAAGGGAGTGAAACAAGGCGTGTTCTACTGTATCTCCAGTAGTGTATAATATATATTCAGAATCTTAATGAGAAAAGTTATTAGTGACAACGGAGGGAAGGTAACGTAATATCAAATATACGCTATACGGATGATACTACTCTCATAAAAGACAGTGAAGCGGCATTACAAATACTGATTAACAGATTAGTGGAAAAGGTGAAGAATAGCCTATGGGTTAAGAGTTAGTGCTGTAAAGACAAAAGTAATGGTTTTCCAAATATGAAATAAATCGTAAAATAATTATTATGGTAGGCAACATGGAACTTAAACAAGAAGATTTATTTTTATTTTTAAAGTAACATTAGTTGTGATGGTAGATGTGCGAAAGAAATCCTAACAAGAATAGGTCGAGCAACAACAGCATTTAATAATCTAAAAGACCTAATGAAAAGAGACAAACTTCAATTTGAGTAAAAAGCTGCTGAACGGCTATATATGGCAATGACTTGTATGGATCAGAAGTGTGGACATTTTCAGCAGTAATTTTCTTTTTTTTTATTAATCTTGTTAAGCAGAAATTAGAAGTATATAGAAATAATTGTGATTTAGAAGGTTAAAAATGAAAATAAATACAATAAGACATATTTGTTATTTATGAGTGAGTGAAAATACTGTTGATATTTGTTATTATTATTTTAAATATTATCATTATAATTACAAGTATCATTACACTTATTATTATTATTATTATTATTATTATTATTATTATTGTTATTACTGTTATTATTATTGTTATTGAGGGTGTTGTTATTGTTGATGTTTTTACTGTTATTGTTGTGGTTGCTTTTATTGTTGTTATTATTGTTTTTGCTGTTATTGTTGTTATATATTCATACCCATTATCTATCATTGTCAATAAAACCATGATTATTATTATCATCATTATTAATTATGTTATCACCAACAATAAGTTACAGTACAAGTAGATAGAGTAAGACACACCTTGATACATACCGTAGATCTGTCATAGTTATTTACATTCAGCTCATCAGACAATATCTCGGTAGTGTTATCCTGGGGACTAAACACAGTGCCTTCAGACGAGTTGTTGTGGAGCAATGTGGGGCGTTAAGATTCACTTTCTATACAGTGTGTGTGTGTGTGTGTGTGTGTGTGTGTCCTGCCTTTTGCTCTATATAGCTGCTGTACCACATTGTTTTCGCTACTGTAATTTTCATTTCTCTTCTCTTTTTTCTTATAAGTAGTTTGTTTCGTTGTTAAGTATATATATAAGATAGATAGATAGATAGATAGATAGATAGATAGATAGATAGATAGATAGATAGATAGATAGATAGATAGATAGATAGATAGATAGATGGATGGATGGATGGATGGATGGATGGATGGATGGATGGATGGATGGATGGATGGATGGATGGATGGATGGATGGATGGATGGATGGATGGATGGATGGATGGATGGATGGATGGATGGATGGATGGATGGATGGATGGATGGATGGATGGATGGATGGATGGATGGATGGATGGATGGATGGATGGATGGATGGATGGATGGATGGATGGATGGATGGATGGATGGATAGATAGATAGATAGATAGATAGATATGTTTTTTGTTATATCTCTCTTTATTTACGTCTGTATGTTTATCCTTCACTTTCTCTTTACTTCTCTCTTTCCATCATTGTCACTTTCTCTTTGCATCATTCGCTTTCTCTCTTTATTTACACCTTTCGCTGCTCTCTCTTTCT